GAGGAAGTTGCTGGATTTTTCTTGTCTATTGCAGCCACGTTTTTCTTCTCCAAAGGATCACGTTTTTTCTCACTTTTTCACACACAAATCACACACGCTAACAGCTAAGGTAAAAGGTAACATATATATAGGCTAGGTTAGTCCTTATTTGGACCAATAAATGGTTAAATGGACCAAGATTCAAAGTCATCCAAAGGGTAATATATATGGACCGTGAGCAACATTAATTCTTTAAGCTACTTCCAACGCCCACGTTGTTTTCGGGTCGAGCCTTTGGACTTGGTTGTTGGTAACAATTTAATTCAACATTTACATCATAACCCGGGATTCATTGGATATCAAAATCCAACATTATCTAATTTGTTAGGAGTTCTTGGATAGTAGCATGCTTGGCCGAGTGGTTCCAGCACCATATCAGCTTGCACATTTGCATACTAGGCAGGGTACTATTAAATCGTGATCTGGAAGCTTGTTCTGAGGAGCAGAGGCAAGAGATGATCTTTTGGAAGTTGAACATTTTTGAATAATCTCCTGCTAAAATACAGCGCGCATAATTCTTCAACATAGGATAATATCTGAACTTGAAAAACAACAAAGAAAAAATTTTTAGACAGAAATTGAGCTTATACTTGGATTAAAATCCTTTTTTCTTGTTTTAGGATAAATAGAATAGCATGCTCTGTGTCCTACGCTATAATCATTTGGATATGGGTGTGCTCTTGTAAGCCAGCAGATTGCGTATTATTATTAGAATGGATAGGTTGAATTACTTTCATGAAACCTTGTCATACATAATCACTTAGAGGCCTCTCACTTTAACTTGTTCTTAATATTCATTTATTTTGTATGTATTCCAGGTTTCCTGTTAACTCTATTAGTTTCTGCTGTGCTATTGTTTGTCTTGAGCTAGTTACGCATTTCTGTAATTTCTCAAGCAGGATATCCAGGCACTCATCAATAAAATTAACAAGTCTATTGTGGCACCACTACCCTCGAAATACTCTGGTGCATTGTAAGTTATTGCAAGTTATTGCACGGTGTTGTTTTCTAGTTGTTCCTCGAGACAGCCTTCATTCTTTCTTTCCAGTTTCTTTCATTTTCTGAAGCTTGTTTTGAAATTATGAATTTATATTAGGTTTTTTTTTATGTCAAACAACTTATATTAGCAAACAAAATCATACGAATCACAAAGTTGTATTCACTTGTTTCTTCGTCTAGTGCACACAGTAGTGGAAACCGATGCATGTCTAGAAAACAGTGAGGATAATCTTACCCGATAAATAGCAGTATAAAAGTTGATTTTTCGAAAGTAACGCCATTATCATTTTTTCAAACAATTTTTTCTTTATATATTCTTCCCTTAACAAGCTAATTGATATTATTTTTCTCACTTGTGATGCAGCCGGGGTCTAGTAAAAAGCATGCTGCGGAAAAATCCAGAACTTCGGCCGAATGTAAGCCCTTTTCTGTATAATTCCATTTTGCATATCCTATTGCATAATTTGGTAATGCTTTTTTTCCTTTTCCTTTTTCTCTCTTGTTTTGTGCCCTGAGTGATCAACAGTGGTCAATGGCCTTACTGAGAAAAATGGTAAAAGTAATGCTGTGACGAATATTGGTGAAAAACAATTCATATGCCCAACCCACTTTATTGGAAATATGGCTCTCGGTGTTGTAGGTGTTCAAGTGTACCGAGTATGCAAAAATTATGCTGCCAACTCTGTAAGCATCAAAAAGACAACTGAGTCTTGAGAATTGCATCATTGATTTTCTGTTGCTCAATCCTGCTTGATGTACAATCATCAGCTTCAATATTCCAGTGACCTTTTATGTGATACAGAAGTCCCATTCAAATTGTAATGGCATCCTTGCCATCATGACTACCACTGTGGATATCATGTTCTTTGCAGTTGTTTTTTCCATTTGTTAAATCAAACATGAAGCATTAGTGTAAATGAAAATGATTTTTGACAAACATCGTGAAGCAAAACTGGGGAGGATTGTTTTGGTGGCTTCTCAAGCATATATTAAAAGCTTAAAATGTAAGCTCCTTGAGAATATACTATGTGAAATATAAGCCTGCCTTGCAACTTGTTTTCTCTTCTCTTTTTATTAGATATTAATTTAAATGGTATGGTGTTGCATATTTTTACATCATAAAATATTTCCATTTATCTAATCAGTATATCATCATTGTGGCAGGCTGCAGAACTTCTTAGACATCCGCACCTTCAACCTTATGTGGTTAATACTCATCTCAAACTCAATTGCCCCAGACGCAAGAGTCTACCATTTCAATGGGCTGAAACTGAAGCAAATGACACTAGGAAACTTAGATTTTCAGAGCCCATTAATGTCCATCCTCCAGTGAATAGAGACAGACGATTATCATGTGGAAATGACAGGACTTTAAATCCCAGTGTATCTGGAGCTGATCAAAGTTATTGTTCTTCTATGCAAAGGACTGAAAGTATTCCTTTTAATCTGCATCAGAGAATAAAACAATTGTCCACTGGAAGCTCACATGAAGGAACCATTATTACAAAAAATGTTACTTCTAGAACCTCAAACATTGCCAAGAAACCGAAAGCAACGGCTATAAATTCTTCTCCACTGTCCAAAAGAAAATCAGAGCTGTCAAATAATCGTGAACGGGTAAGATCACAAGATAATTATGTGCATAGAATTATGCATTTTGTTTCTTGAATGTAACTAAAAAATGCATGAAGGTATAAGTATGTATTGGTAAGGGTAAATGTTAGAGGAAATACAGAAGTGGATGTTAATGGTAATTATTACATGGTCTGGTTGAGATGAAACCTGAAAATCGGTGAGGATGCAAGAGTAAAGGGTAGGTACCCTACCCCTGAAATCACTGTTCATTCCGTACTCTCACAAGGCATTTAATGACTAAACTGATCACGATTATAGAGCCCGTTTGACAACCATTATGGTAGAAAAAAAGAGTTTTGAATATTGATTTTTAGGAGAATGTGTGGTTAAAAAGTAGGGAAAAGTTTTTGGTATACATATAGAATATTTTATTGTGTGAATGTGTGGTTGAAAATGATCCTGTAGCAAGCCATAAAATAAAGTAATGAATGTCAAACAGGCACATAATATGTAGACTAAGAAATATGAATAATGCTAAGTGTACACAATTTTTTACACAATCTTTTACACTTCTCTCACATGGAAGGGGGCCCACACACAATAAAATAATCGTGGACCCCCCTCCATGTGAGAGAGGTGTAAAAGATTGTGTAAAAGTGTGTGTGTACACGTAGCATTACCCAAGAAATATAGGGATACCTCAGTGAATTACGCATAAAATAATCTCTCTCACTGATTTTCTCTCCCTTTCCTTCCCCTCCCCTTTCTTACACAAAATAAGGGAATGTTGAAGAAGTATACATCCCTACCTTCTCCCTTCCTTTCCCCCTTCCCTCCCTGAACCTAACATGGATTAGTAGTTTAGCACTAACTAAATGCTAGTGATATTGCTCAGGATTCTTCTCTTGTTACATGTATTTACTGAAAAAATGCTTTATGCAGCTCCAAAACTCAAGAACCTTGGTTAAGAAATCTGTTGCTACTACTCGTAGAGCTTCTCTGCCATTACCTGCTAAGGATGCAGTATGCGGTTTCCATCATAGGCCAAGTCTTGGAATCATTGACATCATCAAGTCTCCAGACGTTTCAGTCAATGCCCCTCGAATTGACAAGATAATAGAATTTCCTTTAGTGTCATATGAGGATCCCTTCTTTCGTATGCATAAAACTTCATCTGCCTCTGTGCAAGGTTCCTCTAGTTCACCACAGGGTGACCGCTCTATTATGAAGGATAGATGCACCATTCAGTTTCCTGATAGATCAGACAGATTGAGCTTCAACAATAACTCTAAAGGATTTCAAGGACCTACATTTAATGTTAGAGAGTATGGAAGTGAGTGTTCCGATCAAAATGCTACAGCTGGCATGTCTAGCCGAACCTCATCAGACCAAAGACACCGCCGTTTTAATATGTCTTCTTGCCGACAACGAGCTGAAGCTTTGGAAGGATTAATTGAATTTAGTGCGAGATTGTTACAAGAAGATAGGATTGAAGAACTTGGGGTTTTACTGAAGCCTTTTGGGCCAGGGAAAGTATCTTCCAGGGAAACTGCAATATGGTTGACGAAGAGCTTCAAGGAAAATGCAGTGAAACCAGAAGATTAGTGAAGCAGTCTGCAAGTTACCAAGTGGCAGATGTAGTATATTGTAGCTTATTATGTGGATTAGGCATTCTTCCACATATATCCAAGCACTTAGTTGAGAATCATTGGACAAGATAGAGAACGAATTATTGTAAACAGTGTAGCAGATATTTTGTTGTCCTTTAATAGTGTTAATCTCCTTCCTACTTTTGGTCTTATTTCTTCCTCTCTCTCTACATTGCGTTTGTTATTTCTTTTGGTTCCTTTAGTGTCACCTGCAAATCAAACTGGAGAGTGGATTTCTTTGTCATGGCTTCAAGCTCCAAGCTAGAAGAAACCAGCAAGGTACATAATTTTTCACTCGGTAAAACTGTTTGTAAGTGATTTTAAGGTTGACTTCCCCTTTCTCTACGACTTATCATGAATTTTGGCAGATAAACTTTTTGCTTTTATGAAAAATTATAAATTGCATCTATAGTTGATAAATTTTCAAAGTTCAAAGGTGTTAATGCTGTTAAAATATGGTCTACGTAAGAGATACTTCCACCCTACTCTGGGTTTTCGGTATGACTATTTACAAGAGCAATATGAAACTGTAAACAGCCCCTATGTAGAGGTACTCCTTTAGGAAAATAGACTCCAGAAAATAGGAATTACAAAATTTCATGATGGGCAAATGGTCCTCTGATGGTAGCTCCAGAGGGTATAATTCTCCTGTTTTATGTATTTTTGCAGTATTATTCAATCTCCATCCTCATCATCTTGATCACCCGTGAGATGAAGTCCATACTTGGTCATGAAGAATTAGTACAAATTCACAGGAGGCTGCAGTCAAATGAATGAAATCAGAGGCCTCAAAAGTGTTATGAAACTCATTCAAATAAACAGAAAACTCAACATACTTACTTCAAATGTGATTAGTGACCGTCTATGGTCAGAATTACTGGTCATTGTACTTATGGAATCACAATCCCTCTCATTTCTAAATTTGTCAGATCCGTAAAGCTTGATTAACCAAGGGTATAAGTTCTCTTTGTCATTCTTCCCATCCATTGACAATCCTCGTCTGCTGCTTTTTGGTTTTTTTTCCCATTTGGGACGTTGTTTTGGTTCGCTATGTGACCTAGATTTTGCTTTTGATGATTTTGTGTTTGACATATAATTTGGTACAAATTGGGAGTCAGTAGGCATGAAATCTGAGAGCTGTTGAAGAGGAGGATCATCAAAAGGTGTCTTTCTGTACTCAGATTTAGACCAAGCAGGGTACCGTCTCGAACTTCGTCGTGCCATATCCAAAGAAAACTCCTCTAACTGCCCATCATAGGTCATTGAACTCTCATCTGTAAGTGACATTGTTGATGGACTGGGACATGTCTTAAGTTGATGTTCCCTTTTTGAGCCCGAAGATCGACCAGAAATACATGTACCAAATCCATGTTCCACTCTTCCAGCAAGAGTATGATTTATGTGTGTACTTCTGCTCATCAAAGCTCCCCTTCTATGCTGTATATTCTCAGTCGTCTCTTCCTACATTTATAGAAATCAACCTTGTTGCTTATTTATTGCTGAACTTGCCTAAGGCATGTATTTGGGAGGAATTCACAGGGGACATAAGTGCTCGTTTAAGTATAAAATGAGGACCATAGGTGTTGTTTTCCCAAGAATAATATTAAATTTCTTAACATTCTTACTTTTGCTGTCCAATGCATTTTAGTCATTGTTAAATTTTATCGAGCCATTTAGATATCAGTATGTGCTGAAATTTCTGTAAATCTTGTATGCATCATAATTTTATGTGAATAAATAGGGGAAACTGACCCGGAATCCATTCCTGCACTGGTTGTCCAAAGCTGATTCCTTGAAAGTTTTTCTTGTTTCATCTGCCATTTGGACTCGCTGAACCCGAGCTCTAACTTGAATTGCCATTACAGCACCAAGGGACCTTAACACGGCAGCCATTTGTTTTCTTACCAGGTGACCCCTTACTTGAGCTTGTATTTTCACTAATCCTCTTAAAGCTCGCAACGCCTTCCTTGCCTGCAAACATTACCAATTGGAAAACAAATGGTTATGGCTTATTAGAAATTTTTCTTACGGAAGAGTAAGAAATTAACGAGTACTTACCAAATAAGCACGAAAGACAGCTTGAACTCTGGTAGCCGCAATATTTGCTTGTATGGTCATTCCCATATTTCTTGATTCATTTCTTGCCATCACAACTCTTTTGGCATGATCTTCTTCATTCTCATATGCTAGTAACTCTAACTTGGGATTCATGATCGAGTCGAAAGACCTGTTGTTTTTGTGTGTAATGGGTTTTGTACTGCTTGATCTTTTAAAACTCCACCTCCTTTTAACTTTAGGAGTTGATGGAAGAATCTCCATTGGTGTCCCTACACTTTGTGTAGAAACTAAAGCATCTGCAAATTTCTTGTCCTTCTCCTCTCTCTTCCCCATCAAGAAATTTCTGATCCATTTGCTTGCTTTCCCCATGCCTGCCCCAGCCACACTATAATTCTTCACGACTTTGGCAATGAAAGTACAGAACTTTCACTTATTATATAAAGATGTATAAGTAATAGTATATAGGGATTTGGTGATGAACATTAATTTTATTTGTTAATTGACTTTCCATAGTAGTTTGTTTCCATAAAAGACAACCCTTTGGCCAGAATTGAAGTGGCCTGCAATGATTCCCCATTTATCTGCCATTTGCCACTTCTCTAGGACTAGTATGGATATTAAATATTGTTACAATTTATATATATTAAAAATGTAGATTGGATTTAAATCCCTTTTCTTCAAAAATTGAATACAATTTTCTCATTCAAACCTTTTCCATTTTTCCAACACCATCTTCACTGCTAGTACATCTCTGATTTCATTTAGTTTAGGTAAAACAATTCTTTTCAGTTTTCACCAACGGATACTAAAATTCTCAATTTTACATGTCAGAAAAATGTATTTTTGTGCTGTCTCCATAATAGAACAGCATCCATGCAATTAATTCAAGAAAATTCATTTCCAAAAACGAATGATCTTGAAGTTGTAAACGAATGATAGAATATGATTGAAAAAAATTAAAAATAAATTAATCTAAATTTTTACAACCCAATTAAAAGTGACATTACACTTGATTTTTTATTAAAAAAGAGATACAATGTCACTTTTATTAAAAAGTGATACAATTCACCCAAAAAGTGATCGGGATTTCGTCACTTTTTTTTTTTATCGTTGTTTTTTATAATTTATGTCACTTTATTGAATTGATTCCAAAGTTTTGATTTGGTATTTTGTCACTTTTTTTAGTCGTCACTTTTTAAATTTCTGTCACTTTATTAAACTGATTCTAAGGTTTTGATTAGTGTTTTGCCATTTTTTGAATATTTATCACTTTTTTTAGAATTTTTGTGCATTTTTATAATGTGTGTCACTTTTTTCCTATCACTTTTTAATAAAAGCGAGATTGTAAGTCATTTTTTAATAAAAAAGTACTACGCAATTTTAAAAAGAAACATTGTGTCACTTTTTAATAACAAAAAGTGACATATTATTTTTTATTTCTAAAATACTTTTCATATGATTTTCCAAAAGGCCCTTAATTTTAAGGTCATTTTTGTAAGTTACCCATATTTCTTTGTCCAAATATAATATAAACTTGGGCCTATTCCAAGCCCACAACCCACGCCTGTGTTTGGCCCGTTCGACGGTGTCAATTGCATGGTGCAAGCTTGTAGGCTTTGGTTTGAACCTGTCAACACAAGTCATCTCCCTTCCAAAGACAAATGGTACCCTTGAGGGATCAAGCTAAAGTATCAAACTAGAACTATCAAATTTCCCTTCAATGTCCCTTCTTCTTCCAATGTGGGATTATTACTTTTTCAATTTTCCATCGATTATTCAATTTAATTTTCCAAGTTTCAAGCGGCTCTCTTCTGACTTTAATTTTATCATTCACCCAAAATACTGTTTCGAGCAAGTAAATATCATAGACAATCTACTCACGGAGTATAACTATTTGGCCAAAGAGCTCCTTATTCGATTAATGGAACCTACTCAAATAATTGGTCAAAGTTAAACGGGATATGTTATGCGTACATAATTTATGTACACAGGGGTGTCCACAGTTATGTTCTTTTGGCCTTGAACGACTCGTATAATTCATAAGTGCTCTTTGAAGAAGGCAAACTTTATAATATTCTCATAAAAGCAGCCATACTTCACATTTACATAGGTGATTTTCTTGCAAGAGTACTCTGCTATACTCCACACGATGTTTAAGATATAGGAATAATTAAACTTAGCCCACTTGATGTCTAAGATATTGGTGCTAATTTGGTTTTTTGTGTCAATCTTCTCTAGTTTACAATGTTTTGTTAATGCACAATAATTATTTTATCTACTTCCTAATATAATAGCTTTATTGCTCCACAAACTAGGAGGATTTATTTTTTGCCTTTACAATTTTCTTTTGAGGAAAAAATATCAAAACAATGAAAATAAATCTGAGAATTATAAACGATGATATACGTTGAAAACAAAATTTAGATTGTCCTTTTTTTTTCCTCCGACTTTAAATCTTATCTAGAGGAATTTCACTGGCATCTTATAATTAATTAATTAATTAATCTTTTATAATTGTTCTGGAATCTTCTAGTTGATTAATCGATATCTAACTGTTACGGCATTAATAAAGTAAAGTGCTAACACTAGCTAGCTAGAGTTGGAGGCTGCTCCCACTAAATAAATTTAATTTCTTGCAATTTTTTCTTAATGGCTAGGTTGAACTTTGCCATTTCTATAAAAAGTTAGCATCCCCGTCCCCCACCCGAACAACGTCTACGTCTGTTGATTTTTTGATGTGGTTAATATTGATTGTTTGACTGACTTAAATTAAAAAAAAAATTTGAATTTTTTGATTTTTTTTACTTTTCTTTAAAATTCAATTTTTATTATTCCATTGTTTTTAGCATTGTGCATGACTTTTTTTTTTTCCCTTAAAAGCCCAAATTTAAAATTACTAATTAATTTGGGGTTTGTCAATTTCATCAAAATCTAATGTCACTGCTCAAGTAGTTGAAACCGACGATGATCACAAATATTTAACCATTAGACCACCTTTTTTCTCATCTCTCAAGTCTCAACCCACTATATGTATTATGTTGTTTAGAAAAAAAAATTGTAAATTACTTTCTGATTCATACGGTAAAATTATATCAATCAAACACAATTAATTGAGAATTCCCAATAAAGTAAGTTCTAGACAATTCAATTCCCTGAAATTCATTTTATTTCCACCCAAATTCTATTATTGCAATCAAACGGACCCTAAAGTTAATATTCTCTAGATGCGTGGAAAATGGGTACTTTAATTTTCTTTATATTATTATGTCATTCTTTCAAAACTTATTTTCCACCACGCATTTTTCAAAAAAATAATATTTTCTATCATATCAATAATTTTTCCTTACTTTTTAATCACATATTTTTCAATCATATCACTATTTAAAATACATTATTTTCTCAATAATATCTATCAAACATGCCGTATATACTATTTGTCAAATGTGGAGATATTAATCCTACTAACTAAAAGTTTCATAGCTTTGGCTTTCAATAATACAAAATCTTGATGACTTGTTGGGTTTGCCTTTGAAATTACATGTTATACACATTAATGTGTATGTATTATATATAGAAGGTTATATCAAGAAAGAGTCGATCAATCCAGTTCCCCATTCTCATATACAGGTAGCCTCTTCACTCTTCATCTTGTAGACAATATGACACCTTCATCCAATAATATTCAGTTCATGCTGGCAATTATTTTGCTTTTGCTACCCATAGCAGCAAAAGGATATGGTATTTTCCCTTCTTCTCTGAATGGACGATCCTACTACGTGTAGATAATATATGTATTGATGATGTGTGTTTGATGGGTTTCAGATAATATATGTGACGCAGTGCAATGTGGAAGGGGAAGTTGCGAGTCAGATCCCGGCCTGATCCCTTTTAACTTCAGATGCAACTGCCAAAATGGTTGGCGACGCACGCGTCTTAACAACGAACAAAATCTTGAACATCTTCCATGCATCATCCCCGATTGTAATTTCTTAACTCTCGCTCTTTATCGTTTCCCGGCTATGGTTGTAAAATTTATCTGAAAAGGACTCTCGGTTTCACATTCATATCGAATCACAAGAAAGTCCTAGTAGTAAGTAGTAACTCGATGTGCTCTTGCGTAAATTTCGAGCTCTAGAGAGTAAACAGATTAGTCATAACCAATTATAAGTTATTTGTTTACTTGATAATTTTCATGTATTGATTTGCAGGCTCTCTTGACTACTCATGCATGCCATCTGCGCCACCACTTCCACCGGTTCCCAACGATACATCTTCCTTTGACCGTAATTTTCTTAACTTGACCCGCTATTCCTCAAATCGGGTCTATTTTGAGACCCAAATCCCCCTAAACGGGTGGAATTATTATTTTTTATTTGACTAAGGATTAATTTCAAATGTATATGTCGGAATTATTGTTTAGCATGTGATTGGATCTACTGCGGGGAAGGGACGTGCATGAGGGATTCAACATATACGCACAGATGCCAGTGCAATTACGGTCATTATAATTTGTTCAACATCTCGGCTTTTCCATGTTATAGCGATTGTAAGTTTATACGAATCTTGAAGTTTTTTTTTTCTTCGTATTTTCATAAACCTAGCTAATCGAATATCTTATTTGTCGATAGGTGCCCTTGGATCTGATTGCGAAAGGCTAGGAATTCGGGTCTCTCGCTCCACTTCAAACCCATATTTTAACAATAATTATCGTAATCAAGGTGAGTTATCCTAGATTAGATAAAATTTTGTCCTTGTTTGACAGCGATTATTTGGTTAAAATTGGATTTTGAATAGTGATTTTTTTAGAACGTGTGGTTAAAAAGTAGGGAAAGAATTTCGATTTATGTGCGAAATATTTTATTGTGTAAATATGTGGTTGAAAATAAGTATGTAAAGAAAAAGAGTTTTAAAATAATAATTGTCAAACGGAGACTTAGTTTTTATATGAAATGTTACGTGTAGATTTTAAGATCTCGTTACTGTCCTTTTATAAAATTAAAACTTGTGCACATGCATGTTTATTGGAAAATTCCTGGGTTTGACAAAATATGTACAGTATGTGCTTCATGCATTCTCAATATTGTTCATAATTCATATAGGAATGAATTAATGCATATTTTTATATTTGTTAGTCAGCCATCATTTCATTTAAAAGTTTAAATTATTTATTTCTATTTCTTCGATATAATGTGTGGAATGAATTTTTTATTTTTTTTTTTTAAATTCAAGATTTGCCCGTTTAGATATTAATTTGGATTATTTCATTTGAAAGTTTGTGTTTTAGAAATTGATTTATCAATACTTAATTGTGAGATTCTGATAACTATTTGTTCATTTTATTATTGGTAGGTACACCCTTTTTGCCAAGGAAGTTCAACTGGATAGTGATTACGCTTATATCCATTGTTATGGGTCTCTGGTAGTAGTCATTTGAAATTACTTATCTAATAAATACTCGAGTCTTAGTAAATATATATATATATACATATATATATATATTTAAGGTGTGGGACATTGATCGAACTACTTCATAAATGCATGTGTACAAAAGTTCGATTGTATAAATAATACCAAGTACATGGTTTTGTGTAATAAGTATTTAACATCTAATGTGTTTGTTGAGTCTATTTTACACGTTGTTAAGTTCAATACATTACGAAATGAGGAAATCGGACAAAATAAACCTTCCTTAGTTAATTTATTGTTATCGTCACAATTTGACATGATATTTATCACGAAATTGAGAAGAATGATGGGATATATATATATATATTTTAAAAATATTTGAAAAGATATATATTTTTTGCCCTTTTGCCTATTTATTAGGTATTTTTTAGATAGGCTATATTTTGTGGGTTAGACAATCTTAAATTTTGTCCCCTTTAACTTTATAAAAAGAAAAAACTCATTCTAAAAAATGTTTTTAATATTAACAAAAAATAAACATATATAACACATCATATGTAATATGGTGCCCCGATTATTAAGGGGCAATGTGTGGTCGCACCTATTATGCGGCCTCAAGACTATCCTTGTATGTAGTTCATATATTTTAAAATTTAATTTTAACATTAATGTCCACATTGAACATTACATCTATACAAATTATATATACGATATGCCTCTTATAAATCGTTCAGATATCGTCATCATGCCTCAAAATTTTCTCAATAACTCTTCACACTTACTACCAACGATAATAACTAGGTCAAATATCCATAATCTAGCGTCATAATACGCCAACCTCCATATCACACAACATTGTCAAGTTTTAAGTAATTCATTTCTTTAAATTGAGAGAGAGAGAGAGAGAGAGCTGAAAACCTTCATTTTGCAACATAAACAAAACGTGGGATAGTATTTTATCTAAAATGAAAAAGAGAGGTAATTTGCAATTAAAATAGTTCATATTATATGAATAGTGAGTTTTCAAATTTGAAAGATTGGTATGCACGTCAAAATGCGATTAAAGAAAAATTCATTTACAATTTTCTCTATTTTTGTTCCCAATAATGCGACCTTTTTTTTTTTTTTTGGCAAAGAAACATATTCGAGCATAATTATTAGATTTGGCAGTCAAGTCCCGACATGATCCATGTAAATTTGATCCGTATTTTAGCCTCTGTTTGATAACCATTATTTCAAAACTATTTTTTCTGCATATTCATTTTTAACCACGTATTTAAACTCTTTTTCTACACAGTTCAAGGTTTGAATTTGAATAATTGGAAGTGGGAAAGAAAACCATGTTTGGGTCTAACCAAATTTGTGTGCACCTGATCGGGACTGGATTGTCAAATGTGGAAATTACATGGACCCCTACTTTTCAAGATCCAAGTTCAAATTTTTAAAAAGGAGATACTTAATGTCTGGTTTTCCCTAATTTTCCCAAGCGGGATATACATCTGCAACAAAGGGACACCGAAGGGAGAAAGATGCTTAAGTGGGCTTTCGACTCGATTTGGGCCTCTTGATGTAATTGGGCTTTTCACCTCATCAAATAGGACATGCCTTGACATCATAGCCTTTTAGTGGATGTGTCCATGCATTTATAGGCATTTTGAGTCGTGGAAATTACATGGACCCCTACTTTTCAAGATCCAAGTTCAAAAATCAGATTTTAAGTTTTAATGTTCAAAAATATGATATTTTATAGATAGATATAGATTTTTATATTTAATTAAATATTATTAATAATATTATTAAAAATAATTTATATATACCCACCCTTCCTAAAATTTAATTATCAACCCTAAATCACCCCGTCTTCTCTCATTCCCGACTTCTCTCCACCCTGTTGCTAACGCCGACGACTTCTCTCCACGTTGCTGCTGCTGCCGGCAACGCCTTCTCCTCCACCTCCCTCCACTTCTCCTCCCTTCTCAGCAGCCCTACGTTGTAGGGGCAGCGTCGCAGCAACGTCGTGACGCTGCCCTAATTCACAGCATTTGGAGGTCGCATCGCCGCCATCCAAGACGACGCCAAGATCGTCCAGATTTTCGCCGAATTTGCCATTCGCAAGCTCCGCATTTTCACATTTGATTTTCTTGGTGAATGCAAAAATGTTGTGATTGAAATGCTATTATTTTGGATTGTTTTATGCTATTATATCACTCCTTGAGTGGGTGGTGTTTTTGTCTTCTTTTCAGGCCAAAACAAGAAATGCTATAATTGAACTCGTGTGTAGAAAGGTAGATTTCGATGGAGATCGATGTTTTGACTTGAATATGTGTGAATTTAATTTCCCCCATGTGAATTTGTGATTTTAACGATGTTTGGGTGGTGGTGGGGTAGTTGGTGGTTTGTAAATGGTGGCGGTTTGACGGTGAGGTGGCGCCGGCTTGCAGGCAGCTGAGTTGGTGGTGGCGGTCACGGTTGTGCATTTTTGTAGTTGGTGGTTTCCCGTGGTGTTGTGGTGGTGGTGGGGTGAGGGTGCGCAAGTGGCAGTGGTGGTGGTGATGCTGGTCGTGGTGGTTGTCGTGGAGGCGGTGGTAGTGGTCGTGGCAATAGTGCAGAGGTGGTGGTGGTGGATCTGGTCATTTTGATATTCTATGACTAAAAATATAATCCGTGATCAATAATTTCGTTATCTGTAACCTAAAAATTATATAATCTATGTTCGTGTGACCTTCTGTGACTAAAAATAAATCTGTGACCTTAAAATTCGATAATCCGTGACTAAAAATATAATATGTGACCAACTATTATGTTATCTGTGACCTAAAAATTATATAATCTGTGACCGTGAAAAAATCTGTGACCAACTTTTTGGTAGTCTGTGACCGTGGGACCTATAAAAATGTTGTGACAAAAAATCAATATTAAAATGTCATACGTGGAGAAGTCGCCGAAACGATCACCGGAATAATTGTTGGAATCGGAGAAGTCGCAGAACGATCGCCGGAATAGTCGTTTGAATCGGAGTAGTCACCAGAACGATTACCGGAGCGGTAGGGGTGGTGGAGGTGGGGTGGGTTAACTATATTTTATATATATATCTTTATATTTTTTTATATATTTATATATATAAATAAAAAATATATAAATATATGTGTATGTATATCAGTATATGTTAAAATATCTGATTTTA